CTCAACAGGGATCCCACATTTGTCAAAATAACCTATCCTAATACCCTTCTCTTTCTCTTTCTCTTCCCTAATTTCCCTAATTCCTGCGCACACGTTTATTGTCTTTCCGCCTTAAATTTGGGACAGAATGAGGATCTTGTGCATAAAGAGGCCCCAAGGAAGGCAATTGTTGCAGTGATAAGGCAAGTCTAGCTGTCGAAGCACTATTTTCAACGATATTCGCTGTCCAATAATTCTTTGCTTTATTTTTGAAGTATTAGTATGTTGCTCACCACTGAATGAAAGCGCGCCCAAAAAACTTAGGTTTGTTTCAAATAACGCGGAGTAATACAGGGTAACAGGAATTCAATGGCTCAAGAAAAAACGTATATACTACCATGAAGTACACTTTTCAACACTGTGGAGTCGATCAAGATGGAAATAAAACCAAAGCTTTGACGCCACTCATAAGGCCAGTAAGCTGTTATTATTCTGTGAATTTAATAAATAAATCTGCATCATCGAAATGAATCTGTAATTATAAATTGTTGTCTCTTGATCACTTTCATTTATGCTTCGTTCTATTCACCACGCCATGAGGACAACACTAGTGATTTCGTCCACTTATGCAAGAAAGGCACACCAGCACATTAGTTACGCCAAGTTTAAGCAAGTAATTTATTGTACCGCATGTACTTTTTGTCAGTATTTGGCTATTGTTCTGAATACCACGAGCTGAATAACGATAATATTGACTCAATTTCATCAATTAGTGTCATAAGCAATTTGCTTGCAATGATCAATGGGAGAAAGGCCAGGCGCCGATACTTTCCACAAGACGGTGAAGTAGTAATTTCTATTTAGGACGTGGGATCATGTTAAATGATAAGAAAACAAATTTGGCGAAAAGCTTTCTCCTTAATGCTAATACTTTGCCGATGGCTTCGAGAAAGCTAAAGAGATTCGGTTTCGAAGTTAGCGTATTGCATGTCGGGCACAACGCTGGTATTTTAGCACTATTTTCAAGTCAATGCTAGTAAATGTATGCGTGGCTCTTTTCAGAGGCTTCTGACTCCTTACGTATGACTTTTTTCAGAGAAACAGGGCGACTATCTTGGTGGGTGGGTCAGAGTTGGTGCACTCTACGGAAGTTTTTTTTTTTATACTTTTAGGAAGAGTGAAAGGACTATTGAAAAAGGATCACAGTACAACTTCTTTGGCAGTCAGGCATTTCTCGCCGGTGACGCTCCTACGTGGATCAAGTGACTCTATGGCTATATTAAGCTACTCAATTGACCCCTACTCTTTTTTCCGCGACTACCACGGGGAATAGTCAAGTATTCATTTTAGGCAACTACACTTATACTATTCGTTCTACCCAGCAACTGCCAAAAATAGTAGTTTACTTTTGCCACTATTTTAATAAAACTCGTCAAAACAACGCACTATTCCCACCAGAGTAATACTAAAAGCGCGAAAAAATAGTCTTTAAATTCCACGGAGTCAGATGAATCACTCAATGTTTTATTTATCGTATGAGCAGAAACAACCCAAGTGCGTGTTATGAGCATAGTGTTAAATCGTGCCAAATAAACGGAAGATCTCAGCATTATGTTTTCATATTTATTCCTTATAATTGTGAATATAGAAAAAATTGTGATGGCTGCAGGAATCACACTTCTGCCTTGCTATGTTGGCGCTGGTATTTAGCGTGAGCAGCAATGAAAAATAGAAGCTGAAGAGCAGCATGCGACGTCAAGATGATAAAATAGAATCGCGAAGAGCTTGCAAAATACCATCACAATGAGTGGTTTATACAGACGTAAGGAAAGCTCGCAACAAAACAAGAAATGCAAACAGGCACAGCAAGGAATCATGTTTTTGCCGTTTTCGTGCAAAGCACAACTTCAAAATAGTATATAGCTTTCGTAACATGTGGCTAGTTGACAAGCTTTTCGCATAAGAGGCGTCAGCTTCTTCCGCACAATAAATGCAATTATTGCAGGCTTCTCGGTGTAAGTGCCACTAAATTCTTTTTCTACGTCAGCTTGTCCAACCAAAGGAAATGTAAGACTGACTGCCTCGTTGACAGCATGAACATCGCTGTTGATTTTCCCATCATTAAATGTTGTCAGCTGGAGTGTGGCTGTCAACTGGAGTCAAGAGCCTTTAGAAGCGATCCTGGATTCTGAGAATAATGAACAGAAAAGCACACACACAAGTGATTAATTTTATTTGAACCACCCTTTGTTCAACACACCATTACTGAATACCCGAATCTGGCACAAGTGTTTTGTTTCAAAGGGGTCATGACGCTCAATTTTTAATCATGATCTGTGTTGTGTGTGTTGATTCTTGTATGCTCACGACAACCTGGTGAAACGTGTGTGAATTTGGTCGAGCCGTTAGTTTACAATCCAATGTGTTTATAAACGAGTGAGCGGCCTGAGAGTCGGGCAACACTGGCACGATCACTAGCCATGACGTCATGAACCACTTGTTGGGTGAGCAGCTGCACGGTCTGTATTCTGGAGGCTGATCACGTTCCGTGGTCAGCTGCGCATTCAATCTAACTTATTCTGCGTTCTTCAACTTGCCACTGGAACTGAATGACATCCAGCGGTAGAAAAAATGCCACCACGTCATGCATGTAGCACTGGTACTTGCAGCAAGCAATTTCGGAGGTCAAAAAGTGTCCTGTGAATGTACAAGGCATATGCCGTTTGCAACTACAGATAAATATTTATTGAAACTCCTCGCATTCGGTATCAGAATTGAGCGTCACACTTGCTATTCTTTTACCGGAATCTAATGCAACCGACAATGTTGAAGCAATGATTCGGCCAAAATGTATATCGTGAGTAACCCTAGCGCCGCACTGACATGCCGCTCGCTTCGGCTTATCCTTACGCATAAACCGATGGAAAAGCGGTGGTCCGAACGCACTGCATAGCTACGACCACTTATTTATTACATTCAGCACCGAAAGTCGTGCATGCAAGTATGCTATTCAACAATAATCTGCACGCTTTGCCAATTTTGTGACACTAAGTAACACTGCAAATGCAGCGTTACTTTTGACCCTGACGCGCTTGAAATAAAGCTACTTATCCTTGAGGAAAGCCATCTGTCACGTGTGCCACAACAGCGAGGTCGTTGGCATTTTGGTTCACACCGTCTTCGACGCTTTCTTTGTCGCTTGAGCTGGTTGCGATGCAGTTGAAGTCAAAATGAACGACGTGCACGATGTCACCGTATATGGTGATGCCATCGGTAACATACCACAACACTTGCAACCCATTGACACGTGCGGACCAGGTTGCAAGCAACACTCGAAACACTCACCGCGCGCGGAAGGTGCTGTTTGGTAGCAGATGACGACAGTGCTCCTTCGGCTTGTTACGTCCCGCATGCCATGACAAAATGGCAGTCTCCGGTGGTGGATATAGTTTACAGTTATGACTTCTACGTCTTGTTTGAACTGAAATGATTTCTTACAGTCCCGTGTTCACACCTGTACAAGCATATTTGAGCTTCCACCTTTATTTTTCGCCGTAAACCATCAGTTGTTAGGTGACCATATCATGATTCCTTTTAATAATTTCACAACTAAAACATGTTTTCACGTAAAAGAAGGCGGAGAGCTCATTTCACAACAGGCCAGGCCTGTATCCCCCGAAATTTGGATAAAGCAGAGTGTTATGTCGATAATAAATACTGAAATAGGACTTTTTCAAGGTTTTAAACAAAGGCGCCTCCCTCAAAAAAAAAAAAATTCCTGGCTACCTATTTGCAATGGGTACTCCTCAGACCGTATGAAGGCACTTCTTGTCTGAAAATTCACTTCAAAGAAATACTCAGTTAGCCTCATTTGAGCACGAACGCTAGAAGGATACCAACGCTCGGGAATGCCGTCTAAGCTGCTATCAGACATGGCACACGCTAGAACTACCACACAGTCAGGTCCCACAGGCACGTATGCTCACTCGATTCTGTCATAACGCGAAACGTCATTGCAGACGTAAGCAAAACACGAAAATAGCACAGCAAACGAGGGAAAACATCGCATGGCGGCGGCTGCAACAACGCACGCTGTAGGAAGTCTGGGGCTTTTCCCGCTACCGGTGATGCGTTGTCTTAGCATTTTCAAAGACTACCGCGTACGTGTTAGGAAGACCGCAGCATATATGCACATCATCCGTCTGTCTTTAGGGCAACAAAATTAATTTTATAGTGTGTCTCTAAGTACACAGGCAAAGGGTTTTTGTTCTTTCACCCGCAGAAACACGCCGAACACTTCAGAGTATCGATAGAAATGTTACTATAGAGCCTAAAGCACATCTCAAGAACATATCAAGCACTAGTGCATACGCAATGTGCAATGAGCAAGTAATCACCCTCAATTAGTGGTCGCATAACTATTGTACGAGTGATGTAATCGTTTACACAACAACGCTCATTGCGGTGTTAACTCGCTAAGAGACAGTTGGAGTTGGGCATCTGCAACAGCCACGCAGACACATGCGACTGTTCTAAATGGCTGGCAACCTACTTCCGCAGAGCTGCCGCATACGACCAGCGAGCGCTGTGTAATTAGTACTCACGAAAACAATACTCTCACCTTCAACAAGCGCAAGTTGTCCGTGTCCGCAGATATATGGATATTCCTTAATCTGAGCGACACTTGAAGCACGAAGCCTGGCGTGACCGCTGCTAAAGATGTGCATGTTCACTGGAACTCACAGCCACAAGACATGCTACCAGAGCAACCAACGCAACGCATTAAAAAGCGGAAGAGACAGACAGAGAAAATGAAGGCCGTGGAGGCACTAGCACTAGCGCCGCACCGGCTGCGACACGCGACACCCCATCTCCGGCTTGAGCGGGGAAGCCGGCACAACGACTCCGAACGGCAAACGTGGGGTTATAAGGGCAAAGCTCCTTACGTCGTGGGTCGTACGTCCGCGATGTATTTAGTATGCATCTGACTCTGCTTACGCATCTGTCTTTTCGCTCTGCAGTTCGCCGTGGTCGCGGCCGGTGCATCGACATTTGGCCTTCCGGACGACTTTCTGCCCTTGGGAGGAATTTCCGAAACCGTGCCTGCCATGGATCAGCGCCTGTTGCAAATAACTTGCGTGAACCTGTCCGAGCCCATGGAACACCCCCTGGAATATCACCGATGCGCAGCCGCGACGACAACATCATCAAGTTCGGAAACGATATTACCGAGCATCCAGCAGTATCTCTTCTGTGGGCACGGAGGCACGATGGAGGAAACAATGAAAGGCTTACGCATCAGTCTTTTCCCTCTGCAGGTTGGTTGCTTTTCCAAATTACCATCTGGCAACTTCAGATCAGATGATCCTTTCCTTGTCGTGCTTCCGGGCCCTGAAGCAGTTCGCGAGTGTGCATTGCATCTTCGATGCCTCCTGCTCCTGGGAGGTGACATTGAAAGAAATCCTGGTCCTATGACTAAAACCCAGGAAGAGAAGCTTAACTAACTTTAATAGTGTGCAACGTATTGAAGCTAACAATGTGAGCCTTCTAGAATCCATGAACCAGGTTTTGCTCCTACATGCCACCTTAAAAATGGTTTCGAATCTCTGACGCAAAGAGTAGGTGAGCTCGAGAACAAACTTCAGTGAATTTTGACACAGCACTCTTCCGCGAATGGAGAAAACATTTCCAAGGTGCAAGGAATAATCGACGAATTACAGTCAAAGGTGACAGGGAGCAATTCTGGGCTTGTCCCCACGCATGAGAAAGAGCTTTCGAGAATACAAGACAATATCGATGACTTGGAAAACCACTCCCGCTGGTCCAAATTACTTTTTTACGGAGTCGCCGATACTGACGGTTCCGAGTCGTGGGAGGCCTCTGAGAGAATCGTAAAAGAGCTCTGTTCAAGCCATTTTGGCATATCTGTTTCGTCTATTTCGAGAGCTCACCGCCTGGGCCGGTTTTCAGCGGATAAGAAGCGTCCAATTATTGCAAAATTTTTTAACGAGAAAGATGTCGAGTCCACTTTGAGCAAGGGTTCAAACTGAAAAACACATCACTAAGCGTAGCACGAGACTATTCTGAGGCCGTGCGCGACAAAAGACGCAAACTACTGCAGTTTTCAAAGAGCTTAAAAAGGACGGTGACCGTATTCGTCTCGTTTTCGATAAGATGTTCGTTAACGATGACGTTTACATGTGGGACACAGAGTCGAACAGTGCTAAACAACTTCCAAGTCGCAACAACACTTGCCGCATCTCAAATGTCCATCCCCCTGTCTTCTCGTATCACCAACCAGTACCTTTATATCAGCTATCTGAAGCGAACGAATAATCTAGTTCGCTTGATCACGTACACGGCTTTAATTTTCCTTACAACCAAGCCAGAAGTACCCTCAGTAAACGGAACAAAAAAAAGTTCATCCCGAACCTCAGGTGTAAAGGCGTCGACAAATAAGGCATCACATGAAATAACTTTCGCAAATGTGAATGCGCGCAGCATCATGAACAAATTAGATACTTTAGAATCGTTGCTTATTGGCCTCAAACCTAAATTCTTGGCCTTTACTGAAAGGTGGCTAACAAGTGATATCGAAGATGCTGAGCTAACACCCCCAAACTACGCGATCATATGCAAAGATAGACTAACACGAGGTGGCGGCGTAGCTGTCTCTATAAGTAAAAGAATCCCCTTCACATTACTTCCAGACGTAGAAGGCATAGAGGCTTTATTTTGCAAACTTAAATTCACAACCCACGTTATCGTTCTCGGGTGTGCATACCGCGCCCTTTCATCAAACCTTGAGTGTATGGATGCCCTGTGCACGTATATGCGGCGTCACGCATCTAATGCCAGAGTTACTTTAGTGGGGAACTTTACTCTGCCTGACTTCAACTGGGAGTCAATGCAGTGCCACAGCGCCTGCTCCGAAATAATTTACGATTTAATTCTTTCTTTCAACCCTTCACAAATAGTGATGCAGCCTACGCGTGCACAGGGACACAACTCGAGTGTGCTGGACTTATTCTTTCTCACTGATAACTTTTCGGTACATGAAGCAAAGATAGAACTGCTAGACGGCATTTCAGACCATAAAATAACTTACTGTAGGATACCTATAAAGGACAGTAAAACGCCTGCATACGCAGAGGAAACATTTCCAGACTTTCGTAATGCCGATGACGTAGCAATACATAACTTACTGTTCGACGAATTTCCATCATTTCAAGAATTAGCCTCTGACTCCACTGTGACTATGGAAATGTTGTGGCATAAATTCAAAGAAATTGTTCCTTATTGCTTACAAAACCACGTTCCATCGAAGAAAAATAAGACCAAAAAGATGAATCCAGGGGTCACACGTGTCGTTATACATGCTAAAAGAAAGGCGAAGCGTTTGAGGGAAAATCTTAAAGAGAAACCGAATATTCATAGCCGACAAAACCTGAGTGCAGGTATAACTGAAATGAAAAATAAAATAAAGGCAGCCAAGTCTACTTATTTCGAAAAACTTTATCTCGGTTCATAAAAATTTCCCCAACAAAATTTTGGCAATACATGAATCCTAAGGTCCGTAAAATGACCCACGAAATGCCTGAAGAAACTGCTTATTTCGCAAACGTATTAAATAGCTATTTCCAATCAATTTTTACAGTTGACGACGGGAAACAGCCTCACATAGAAATTAGAAACGAGAAATCTATTAAGCAATTATTCGTTTCAGAAGAGGGAGTTTTCAACTTACTATTGAAGTTAAATGGCAAAAAAAGTTCCGGACCAGACAAGATACCTAACGCGTTTTTACAAAGATATGCAGAATGGATAACAGAATACCTGTGCCTGCTTTTTAACCGATCATTGTCGCCGCGTACCCCACCAAAGGATTGAAAAATAGCAAAAGTGATTGCTATACATAAGTCTGGAAATAAAAACAAACCTTCCAATTATCGGCCCATCTCATTAACATGTACGGTTGGCAAACTCCTCTAACACATAATCTTGAAGCACATGAAATACACCTAGAAGAACACAAAATACTGTCCCCTTTTCAACACGGCTTCCGCCAGGGCATGTCTACTGTGACACAACTTATTGAAATGGTCCATGACGCCTCATTAGGCATCGATCGCCAAAAACAAATTGATCTTATTCTGCTAGATTTCTCGAAAGCATTTGATCGGGTGTCGCACAGCAAGCTCATCTTGAAACTCCAACTTCTTCTAGGCAAGGGCCAAATTGTTGACTGGATTACTAACTTCTTAACAGACAGGTTGCAGTTCGTGGAATTAAACCATGTGCAATTTTCAATTGTACCGGTGACCACTGGCGCACCACAAGGCAGTGTTTTGGCGCCGGTATTATTCTTAATTTTCGTGAACGATCTTCCTTCATCTCTTAATGTTGGATGCAGAATATTTGCAGATGACTGCATCCTGTACAAATAAATCCACTCACACGATCACCATGTCGCCTTAAATAAGGCGCTAGACGCAGTTTCAGCCTGGTGCAGTGATTGGCAAATGAACATCAATGAAAAAAAGTCCGCGCTCTTATCTATAACCAGAAAAAAGCATCCATCCAATTTGAATTACGTCATCAATTCAGCTACCCTTTCTAAAGTCACGAAACATAAGTATCTAGGGGTCATTCTGTCACATGACCTACGGTGGGAAGCTCATATTCATTACATCACGTCATCTGCGCCGAAAAGAATGTTATTTATAAAAAGGCGATTACAGCAAGCACCACCACACACAAAGTTACTGGCCTACAGTACACTTATACGACCCATCCTGGATTACGCAAACACTGCCTGGTATCCGTACACAAAAAAACTAACCAGTAAGCTCGAAGGTGTTCAACGAAAAGCGCTTAGGGTCATCTTTAATAAATTTAACCGAACAGATTCACCTACGGAGCTGCTCAAGAAGGCTGGACTACTAACCATGAAAAACAGGGTGATATTGGCACTCTTAAAGCTGATGTACCAACTGTTCCATGGTCACCTAAACATCGACAGGTCCCGCTACATAAAGCTATCCGCAGCTAGAACTACCTGCCACAAATACTCTCATACCCTTGCCCCTTACAGATTTCACACAGATGCCTTCAAATTCTCGTTCTTTCCTCTTGGGATCAGAGAATGGGATAACCTGTCCCCCTCCATTACCAGTAGCACATCCTTAGCCACTTTCACAAAACTCGCCTCGCAAACATAATATGGTGCTATGTGATATTTCTTGTTTTTTAAGCCAAGGGCCAGTATGATTGTACTTTGATAAATGTGCTTATATGTTTTCTTTTTTTGTTGTTGTTTTGTTAATTTTTTTATTATTTTTTCTCTTTCTATTGACAGTACTTAATCACAGCCTTAGATTGTCCTCCTGTTATGATCCCTCTGGGATTGACAGTATGTATAAATAAATAAATAAAGTAGTAGTAGTAGTAGTAATAGTAGTTGTAGTAGTAGTAGTAGTCGTAGTAGTAGTAGTAGTACTACTACAACTACTAGTAGTAGTAGTCACCTCTCATTTAGTCTTTGGAATGTCCGCTGGATGGCGGCAGAACACCGTTTTAGGCCCTCAAAACCATTGTTATAGGCACAATTATTTTCTACAAAAATTTAAATATCTCAAAATAACAATGTCGGTCGCTTGTATCTCCGGCAAGAAGCAAAAAAAATGATAATGTTAAAGATAGCAGAAAGGTACGAACGATTCAACATAGGCATGCGTTTTCCGCGCGATTCGCAGTATGTCGTCTTTCGTTTTGTTTTCTAGCATAGTTCGTCAAGTGTCCACCATTCAATTAACCCTCTCACGGGTCTCTCTTGTTTTGTGGTGGCTAGGAAGGGCAGCGCAGGAGCGAATAACCAGTCCACTGATACCCTAGAAGAGAAGGATGCTTGGTCTAATAGTGTAGGACCCATTTTTCGCCTATCAGTGAACACTTTAGAGGGCCCCTCACTAGGTTTGTGGATTTCGAGCTGGCAAGCGTAATGGTGCACTGGGCACTCCGGGTAATTCCTGTTAAGATTTCCATATTACATGTCACAAAAAGCGCTCAATTTTTAATAAATGTCTCCAGCCCTTTTTGCGGGCGTGCTCCCCAAGATCTAGAAAGTGATGTACAGCAAAAAATAGTCCTGTTTTTACGTCGCTACTTTTTGATGACATTGGTGGGCTGACGTCGCATAACGTACGCTCTTCATCAGAACTTCGTTAACTGCTATAGTTATATCTAGAGAAACAGACGAAAAATGTCCCATCTGCTGAATATATCCTGCATTTTAAACGGTACCTCATTAAGAGCGTTGCACGTTACATTACTCTACTTGGCATGCACAATTTGTGTGTTCTATTGTGTAGCATGAATGAGGAGTACTTTGGTTCGGGCTAGCTGCTTCAAATCATGTTGAAAAAGAAGCGCGAAGAAAAGGGAAAAGGAAGACTGTGCTCTTTGTCTCAATGTCATTTTTCTGTGTGTCTTTGCCCTGCTCTTT